CATATGTTGCAAGTGTTTTCATATAAATGTTGCATATGTTTTGCAATGGTTTCTCAAGTGTTTTCAGGTGTTTTTGTAAGTGTTTCAGATGCGTATTTCAAGTGTTTCATCTGTCCGCAGATACATGCTGAAAATGTTTTATCTGGATGTTTCAAAAGTAAATCGAGTGTTGTACTACCACAACAGCCTGATGCAGCTGCTGGGGTGCCGTGCATGCGTGTGGAGGCGGATGGAGAGTCGCGCGGCTGCGGGTGCAGGAAGCGGAGGGGAGGCGCGGGTAGTCCCCGCCTCACACGGGCGTGCAGTAGCCGTGGACGTCCATAGTACTGCGCCCCCCCCCCCTTTTTTTTGCTTTTGTAGTTGTTCTCCTTTGTCGTACGTGCAACATGTTGTACATGGTCATTCTATTCAAACTTCTCTTCCTCGGTAACGGAAAACATACACAGCACCTTCTCTAGAAAAAATTTCAGCCACCAAAAACCTATTCCTAGGTCATTGTTGGAATAGATACGTTTGGTTTTAATGTTTCCTCTATCAATATCAATGGTGATGCCAAAACTTTTTGACTAGGACTAGCGGAAAGAACAACTCGTCGAGATTAGGGATATGGTGAGAGGAGAGGTTGATATGGCAAGGCGTAGAGTACCCGAGAGGAGTGCTCTGGGGACAATCGGAAGTGGATCAATCATTTTTCATGGGTGTGCTGGGACATCGGTGTTCAATTTGGATAGCTCTTATGCATGCGTACCTTCTATTCATGTTTCTTATGGGTTTCTATTTTTATTATTATGACAAAATTCAGTTTGACACTCCATACTTGTTCTAACTAAATTGTTTTTTTTTCCTATTTCTTTTGTTAGAGACCATCACATCTTGATTTCATGATTTCTATGATAGATGTGGTAGTTCTTACCTTCGAAAGTAAAAAGGACGTTTTTTAAAAGAGTCTATACAAATCTCGGGTGATCTATGCACTTTGATCACTCGAGTGATTTTAGTCAAAATCACACAAATAATAAAATCCAAGCAATTTAGCTGATTTGGCTCCTTTGCTCACTCGAGTGATTGTATATGCCAAATCATATAGATTTCAAAATAGCAAAGATGTCTAGGAACGTCAAAATGAAATAAAATAAAAGGAAAATTTAATTTATGGGCCTTGTGCAATAAGGCAAATTTGACAACAAAACAAATTTACTTTGTTATTAAGATTAGGGATAAAATCCTCACGCCCACACTACAATTTTAGTTACTATACATCATTTTATATTGGATTTATATTGTACTTGTAATTGAGTTATGGTGATTATTTTGTAGTTACTAAGTAGAATTAGTGTAACTAAAGATTCTGTGCATGGCAAATACACAAAAGATGGTCTCTTGCTTCGATGTTTTTTTGAGTAATAATGAAAATAGAAAAACTATTCTATGAATTGCAAATACACAAAGTTATAGGAATATAGGGCCTTGAATGAATAATCAAACATAATAAAATGGAAAAAATGCAAAGAATCATTCTATGCATTGCAAATATACAAAGATTGAGGGCCTTCGATGGAGCAAACATACCAAAACTTCAAAATGATATAATACAAAGATCAAAATTATTCTATGAATCGCAAATGTAAAAAATATACTATAGACATGTTACAAAATGCATATGTACCAAAGGAGGCAATATATAGTTGTGGCTTGGCACGTCGGGTCGACCTCATGATTGAGGCATCACAGGTGCGTCTGATGATGCACGCCACAGTTAATGACAGACACCAGCAGCCAAACCACGCCGATGTGTGCCTCTCCTACTTCTAGCCTAGGTGGCACAGGCACGACGTCGACCACAAAATGTAAGGTGCAGATCACGGGCAAAAACAGATCGTGCATCCTGCAGATCGTGTGAGCAGAGCTATAGAATGACCCGGGTAAACTATAGTGTACAGTACCAAAAAAAAGATCAAACAAACGTAAGGATCATAATAATCAGCTTGACCGGCTGCGCTTATTGCCACGCCGCTGTCCCAGCAGCAGTTTGAGCTGCACTACTTTAGTAGTATTTTTCAGCGAACGAACAATATTTTTCTCTCACAATAAATCAACATAAGCATCCACATAAGACAAATTTCAGCGAAACGAACTAGGCCAAAATCTATAACCACGACGGCAGCCATAGCATAAAAAGACAGTCGAGCAGAGCTAGTAATACAAAGTGAGAGCCTGTTTGAGAGAGCTCTACTAGCTCTAGATCCATCTAGATTTACAAGATTCACCTAGAATTATCGTGGAGCAGCTCTACTGTGGATCTATGATCCTAGAAAATGTTTGGTATAACTCCACCTCTCTCTCTCACCTGGGCTCCACGTGTTAGCTCTCCATCTCTTCCTTCTTACCGTTCACAGCTCGCGACAGAGGAGGTGCACAGCAGGGCGACAGCGGCTGCGGGCGCGGCCCCTCGCCGGAGCTTGAGGCCACGTCTGGTGGGTACAACCTCGCCGGAGCTCGCTGCCTATGTGGGCTAGAGCGACTGGAGTTGGAGCGGCCATGGCAGATCTGTAGTCAGGGCTCGGTCTGTCCTCATCGCAAAAGAAGAAAAAATAGAATGAAACGTTATTTTTATGTAACCAATGCCAGCGGTGGGTAATTTTCTTCAAGTGGAGCACCCCCAATTTGATGGATTTAGGGTAGATGGATGGTTTTGGTGAAGCAGATCCATGTGTTTGGTGGAGCCGGTGGAGCTCTTCCAAATAGACTTTTATTCTACTAAAAGAAAATAAAACAAAGTAGAGTCTAATTAAACAATGCAAATACAAATAAAAAACTGATTACATTACACTAGCACTAGAACTACACCAACTTGTACCATATAAGTGAAATTTTCTTCTTTTTTTGTGAGACCCAGTTACGGACACAGACGTTCCGTATTCAACATGCAAATCAGTGAGGAAATAGGAAATTAGTACCTAAACGGCCGAAGAAATTAGTAATGGTGTCTTTCTCGAAATCAAAGACGCTGACAGCTATGGCCATACGACATAAACAAACTGCAGTTAAAACTTAAGAAAACTACATATGCCTACACATAGGTACGTTTGGAAGAAGCGCGGGCAAATTCTCTCTTACAGAATACTATTACTGGCTTGTTTCAGATTGTTTCAACTTATTCTCTCTCACAGAATACTATTCAATCATCAAAACCAACCGAAATATACTGTTGAGCGCACCATCCGAACGCGCTGAATCAACCGAAATCTACTGTCTGCCACACAAATGCATCCTGAACCCGGACGTCTAAAATTGAACGGGGTGATTGTCTGGCTCAGACAGCTTTGGCCGTCTCCCATCCAAAAGGCCCTGCCTCGATTTTTCCTTCGGACTTCCGGCACCGCGTCCTCGCACTGTTGCTGTCACTGGCTGCGGCGAACCTCGTCTTGTGGAACCGCCTCATACGACGTACTCGTACCATTGGGCCTTCCCTTTGTTCATGCACTGATGATTTTCTTTATAGTAGCGAGAGACATGTATTAGAAGGATGCAGATCAAAGATAAATATAGATCAAACGTCCCATAATTAGAGTGATCAAAGGTACCAAATCACCCAAGTAAACCATAGATTTTGCTGTTTTAAAACTTTATTCGTAGAATGTATATGAAATTCAAACTTTTTTTTTTGTAACTTTCAATTTCAGAGTTTGCTAATTACTAATTACTACCTTTGTCCAGAAATATGCAATTCTCTATGTATTCTTGGTTAAAGTGTCCAAAGATTGACTAAATACATAGATAAAAATATCAGTATATTCTAAAAATATGAGACATAATAAATCTAATTATACTTATTTGATATCATAAATATTTATATTTTTTATATGTATAGATAGTTGAAATAATTTAAGTTGGTATTGTGCTAGAATTGTATTCTTTTTTTGCCAGAGGGAGTACAACTTATATGAACAATTTATGTAGATATTTACTTTTCAGTATGTTTGGAGACCAAACGATTAATCTTTCATAGTTATTATTCAAATTTTGCTTTTGCCAATTATGTGTTCTACATGGAAGGTTTTATTTAGGTATTTCTCTTTTCTACTTGTATGGAAATCAAATTATTTTCCCTTAATTTACTATTCCACATTTATTATCTATCAATTATATAGGGTCTTTGGTTTATTCTAAGATGTTAGATCATTATAAAATCAAATGATACTGCTTTCTTCTTGCTTTCGATTAGTGGGGTATTTTCTAAGCCCTCTCCGCAAAAGTGATGTCTATTTTTAACATTGTTTGTAATAAGATAGTAATATATAGCTTTTACAATTCAAATTATTACTGACCGTATGTTGTAAGATTTTATTGTAGGATATTTTCTACAGCCTAGATTCTAGGATTTTGATAACCTTGACTTCAGTGTCAGCTTCTTTATTATTTGACATGATAAGAGAACGACGTATCCGCTTGTTTCTATCAGCTTCGCCGGTGGATGGCCGCGGAGCTGTACGAACTCTATCTTCTTAACGAAGCATGTGTGGGGCACGTTCGCGAAGAAAAAGAAGACGTATCCGCTTGTTTCTTATAGTCCCTACGTGCTACATGTGTCACTTGGAATGCCAATTCTTTCTCCAGAGCGTACCTATTGCTCAAAAGTTCCCACACAAGATGAGTACGAGAATAGGGGAGTTTTTACTTCCAAATTCTGCGGAAGGCTAGTCGTTCCTGATTCGACCTCAACAAAATATGCCAGCCCCCCTCTTCTTGAATGTTCGCATCTTATACGAATTAACTTTGAACTTTAAGCAGCTGAGAGGTGCTTTTCCGAGAGAAATAGACGAATTTAGTGGATTTATTCACGTATACTGCACGGTACACCATTTTCCAAATGTTCCGAGACAAGCGCAAGCGTATTGGGCAAACAACGGTTTGTTCAGGCTCGTCAGTCAACAACAGCTTTGCCTGCCTTGTCCTGCTGCAGAGGCTGAATGGCTGATGAAGTTTCTGACAGCAGCTCGTCAGTCTCGTCTCGGCTGCACGGTCACGGGGAGCCCGTCCGCCATCCGCAGCGTCAGCGACGCAACCTGCCGGGGCCTGTACTCGCCGTCCACCGCGACGTCGAGCTCCTCCAGCACGCACGCCACGATGGACTTCATTTGGATGTACGCCATCTCCTTGCCCAGACACAGCCTGGGCCCCGCGTGGAATGCCACGAACCGGAACGGGCTGTCCGGCCGGAACGTCCCGTCGCCGGGGTTCAGCCACCGCTCCGGCCGGTACTCCCGCGCGTCGTCGCCCCAGACCGACTTCATCCGCCCCATCGCATAGGAATTGTACGCCACGAACCACCCTGCCCGCACGGCTGTGCCGTTGGGCAGGACGTCGTCCGTCTCCGCCCGCAGCGTGTTCAACGGCACCGGCGGGTACAGCCGCATCGACTCCGTGATGGCCGCGTGCACGTAGTGCATCTCGCGGAGCTCGTCCAGGTCGAACCCGACGACGCTATCGACGTCGCCCTGTGCACGCCGGGCGCGCAAAGCAGCGACCTCGTCGCGGATGCGGCGCTGCACGTCCGGCCGCGAGGACAGCAGCCAGAAGAACCAGGTGAGCGCCGACGACGTGGTCTCCCGCCCCGCGAGTAGGAAGCTGATCACCACGTCGCGGAGGGGCACCTCGGACTCGGAGTAGGTCTCGTCCTGGCTCGCCATGAACCGCGACAGGAGGTCGTGCTTCTCAAAACCGGCACTCAGCATCTCCTCCCGGCGTGACTGGATTATGCGATCGGCGAAGTCGTGCACCATCGCAATGGAGTCCCGCAGCCGCTTCTCAGAACCCACGTTCAGCGCTTTCTTGATCTTCCAAAACCCGGGGAGCGCGTACCGGAACCGGCCCGCGCTGAGATTCGCGGCGTCACGGAACGCGTCGGCGAAGCTGCTGTCCGCCGTGTCGTCGCCATCGTCCGGGAGCTGGCGCGGGTCGTGGTCGAAGGCGACGCGGCAGATATTGTCGAACGCGAACCGCTCGAGCGCGTCCTGGAGGTCGAGGGGGGCGCCGGACGCCGCGGCGCGGCGCAGCAGCGGAAGAAGGCGACCGTGCAGCTCGGCGTGCACGCAGCGCGCCACGAAGGCGCGGAGCGAGCGCGTGTTGAACTCGTGGCTGGCGACCTTCCGCTGCGCGCGCCAGGCCTCACCGTCGGCGTTGAAGATCCAGGCCTCACCGTCGGCGCCAGACCTTTCTGTTATACTTGGCCTTGGTTCTTTCTTGGGTTCTTTGCTGGATCTTGGCAATTAGAGCTGCCCTGTCAACTATGAGTGGAACATGGGGCTCTACAGCTGCTCGGATGTCATCCTTGAGACCAGCTACATAAGCTGAAGCAAAGAAAACTTCATCATAATGGTTGTTGTGCATGGTAATGTTGTACTACAGCGCTTGAAAAGCCAAAGTGTAGTCTTCCACTGTACCACTTTGCTTAAGGGCTAGCAGATCACTGATGGCTGTACGAAAATCATCTGTACCAAACTTGGACAGAACTACTGAGCAAAATGCAGTCTAGGAGGGCCAAGTGCGACCCTATTTGTAAGCTTGCCACCATTTGGCGGCATTTTCCTGTAAGTGCATTGTAGCATATGTGACCTTCATCTCATCTTCGGTCTTGTAGATTTTGAAGTAGTTATCACAGTTGTCTAGCCATATCTTGGGATGGTTGCCATCAAAAGTTAGGAATTGCATCTTGGGAAGTGCATGGTGAAGCATGGAATCCTTGTGATGGTGCTGCGGCCTGTTGGATGGCTCAGTTTTCACTACATAGTCTTTGCTAGCAAATATGTTGTCAAAATGTGCCTCTTCTGCATAGCTCAGAGAAACATTCTCTGATTGTTGCATTGCAGCCTCATTCTCCATCTAACGTAGTGTTAAAGAAGCCACTGCTTGTCCATTGGCCTATACCTATTTGGATATGATTTTCTGTTCTGTCTTTGTTTCATCCACACTTTGCTTCAATTGTTGTTGGATCAGACTGATATCATTCATTTGTTTGAACACGAGGTCAAAATTCTCCATGACCTGTTCCCAGCGACTCTTTTCTTCATCCGTGTTGGTCGATATGGCATCTAGGATGAACTTGGTCTGAACCGAAGGCTTAGGAGGAGCCGTCGTGAAGAAGCTGAGATACAGTTGACCGACTGGTGTAGTAACAGGTTTGGCCACTGCCTCCCCAACAATTTACTACACCAAATTGCAGACTACACCTGGACGCACGGCACCACCAAGGGATTTTACGCAGGAACCTGTCCCGTAACCCGAGTGTGTGAGCACGTCCCCGCCAACGCCACCGCAACCCAATCGAGTAAGAATGCTACGGAATTTTACACAGGAATTTGTCCCGCAACCCTCGCAGTCCTCGATTGAGTGCCAAATGAACTCATATCCGCTGCCGATCCAAAGTCGATGCTGAAACCCCAGCCGAGAAAAGATGTCATAGAATTTGGTGGGAATTGGTTGGGTTGTGGATGGGAAAAGGTGGAAATTGCAGAGCTCGGGTGAAGTAGTGCCACTGCCGGAGCCGACCCAGTTCAACCCAAAGGAGGGACCTCTGGTTCCTTCCGTCGAACACCTCGAGGGCGTTAACGGAGATCCCCTACCCACCGGAATTACGAACTGCAGATCAAGGCGCCCGGTCGTGGAACGTACCAAGATGAACTGAGCAACTGCGGCGAGGTGGGTGGAGTGGATTTAAGGTGGTAGGTTACCGGATTGTAGGGGTGGCGGCGGCGCTGCGAGACGGTCGTCGCCGGGTAACTAGCATCGGAGTTGGCCGATGAAGCCCACTGCCCACGCCGAGGAAAATGAGTCTCTGATACCAACTGTCACGCCCCGTTGCCGTCGGCCAGCGCCGTCGACGTGAGGAGCTTCAGAGAGTACGCGAGAGACGAGGAACGGGAAGAGGAACCTTCCTCTGTCACCGAGTTCAATTTTAGAAAATGCGATGGTTCTCAATCCGATACAACGCACGCTTAAAACACCCCCTTGGCCTATGGCCCACATGTCATACTATATCTATTACATAATTGCTCGAATACGTCTTCTGACTTCCTTAGCGTACTTCTCTTGGTTTACGTCTCCTTCAGTTCGTAGGTATACCAGGTCTGACAATTTGCCACTGTTGAGATTGTAATCTGGCTTTATGGCCGCCTGCTAGAAGTCTGAGGTTAGGGGGGTTGAAGGTTAGTGGGTTGTGTTGGCGAACTTTGAATGCTCTGAACTGTATTTGGTCCTCGTGCTTTTATAATGCAATGACCAGGGCTTTCCAGCCCTGAAACTCTAAAAAACGTGTTAATCCATTCAGGGCCCATCACATGTGTGTTGGGCCGAGCTGTGCCAGAGCTAGGACGAAGCCCAATAACAGGAGACTGGAGACGGAGACGGAGACGGAGACAGAGGCACAGAGCCGAGCAAACTCGTACCTGTCTGGTTGCTTCTCAGGAAAATAGCTGTCTGGTTGCTGCCCGGTGCCCAATATTGCCGCACGAACTGCTATTTCTTTTTTTGACGTTGAACAGGAGGGGCGCACCCCTACTGGTATTTATTAAAAATAAGAGTACAATACGGAAAATAATAAAACAGGGTACAATATGGGATACAGAAGAGCCTAACAAAATGGGCTCAAGAAACAAAAAAAGGAAAAGAAGAAGATGAGCTCTAAAACACAGATTAAACAAGGCTGTTTAACCATGATTCCACTCCCGGAAAGTAACTTCGTTTTGCACGGAACAAAAGCAGCGCAAACTCTGATTTGAATGCCCCTTTTGCCTGCTGCAATGAAGGGGGCCTGTTATTGAAAATGAGCCCATTTCTCATTTGCCAGATTGTCCAACACAATATTATAATGATCTCCATGAAGAAAGGGACCTGGAGCTGGCCTCTAAAACTCTCCAAGCAATGCAGCATCTCCCCTTGATGAGTTATCTGTAAACCGAGCCAATTCCAACAAGCTGTTGCAAAAGGGCATCCTATGAGCAGGTGAAAGACTGATTCCTCAGTTGTATGATAAGTTGATAACAGAGCACACAATTGTAATCTGGCAGTTCCATGTTCTTTCTTCTAAGTAGCTCTGTAATCTGGCAGTTCCATGTTCTTTCTTCTAAGTAGCTCCCTGGTGCTCAGTCGGTCCTTCAAGATAAGCCAAGCAAATACCTTGTGTTTGTTTTGACAAGAACTCTTCCAGATCCATTTGAAACCAGGGTGAATTGTTCTGCGACCCTTTAGATGTCTATATGCTTTGGCAACCGTGAATTTCCCAGAATTCCATATGCATGTCCAAAAATCATTGTTGTCATTCAGAGTAATTTGCTGCAGGTCTTGCTGTAATTGGGTTAACTGTCCAAAAGCTTGCTGAGAAAGAGGCAGGTGAAAAAGATTCAGAAGATTGTCACTGGTTTTGGCTTCAGCTAGGATGGTATTCTTTGATTTGATAAAAGAATATAATTCTGGATAAGTAATCATTGGGACCTTGTCATTCCACATGTCAGACCAGGCAGGATTTTGCATCGTCGCCGTGGATAGTGCCTGGATTTGCTAGTCCCAGATGCGGAACAGGAAGGCCCTCTGTTTCCTTTCAACTTTTTCATGTAAAGGTAAAAGGCGCCACAGGGGTAGCAGATAAGAAGAAGAAGGGCTGAAGATTAAAGAGCCACACAGCATCATATTCCTTGGGTGCCTCGGTGGTCACAACTCACAAGAGAAAAGACGGGATATCAGATTTGTTGGCCCCAGGATAAGATCGTGCAGCAATAGTAGTGTCGTGCTTCATCAAGCCCTCAGTGGTGCTGCGTCTGACAATGGAAAGGGTGGACAGCTTGTAATGGAACCACCGTACTGTGAGTCTGTGATCGCGAACAAAACGACAATGATTTTTTTTCATATAAATCACGTAGTAGTATTACATTATACATTATCCAATAAACGGGAAGAACAGCTAAATGTACGCCCCCTATGACGAAAGCAAAATCCATTGCAGCCGTTATTCAGACTTTCCGAGCAGTACACCGGAGACCGAAGTAAAAAAAAAAAAATAGGACACCCCATGACGGGAACCGAAATCGCAAAATCAAACTGACATGACATCAGGGCGGATGCGTGCAGGTGTAGCGTTGTGCAGAAGAAGAAACAGTGTGGATGGCGTGGCTCCCTCGAATGCATCATGCATGCGTTATCAGTTTTCCTTCCACAGGATGGTGGTCTCGGCGATCATGCCGGTGACGACGTAGGGGTCCATGTTGGATGCCGGCCTGCGGTCCTCGAAGTATCCCTTGCCCTCCCTCTCGGTGTCGCGGCCGACGCGGATGGACGCGCCGCGGTTCGCCACGCCCTGCAGACACCACCAAATCGCATGCAGGGGAATGAGCAGCGAGTGGAACAGAAACCATTCGCATCGCATCGCATCGCATCAGAAACCATATATGTAATATACCCACCCATTTGAAGGTGTTGATGTCGGCGGTCTCGTGGCGGCCCGTGAGGCGGCGCTCGTTGCCCTCGCCGTACGCGGCGATGTGCTCCTTGTGCCTCTTCCCCAGCTTCTCGATCGCCTTCTTGATCACCTCGTAGCCCCCGGGCTCCCTCATCGACTTGGTGCTGTAGTTGGTGTGAGCACCGGCACCGTTCCAGTCACCCTGCGTGCACACAAACAACAAGCAGCAATGCCATTCAGTGATCGCTATGCTCATGTGATGATCATATCAGAATTAGAAGAAACTTCCATCTACCTGGATCGGCTTTGGGTCGAGGGAGAGAACAATTCCGGCAATCTCAGTGATCCTCTGAAACCAATCGGTCAGCAAAAAACACTGTTAGTCGCAGCACTCTACCAGTCTAGTTACAAGATCCAGAGGAACCAAGTTGGACCATTGCAAATCGACACTGCTAAAAAACGGACCTCGAGAATGTAGCGGGCAACCCAAATCTCGTCACCGGCAGAGATCCCAACGGACGGCCCAACTTGGAACTCCCACTGTTTGACACGGAACCCGGTTCAGAATCAGCAATTTCAACACGCGTCGATTACTAACTTGCAGCAGGGTTGTACTACCTGTCCAGGCATGACTTCGCCGTTGATGCCGCTGATGTTGATGCCGGCGTAGAGGCAGGCTTTGTAGTGGGCGTCAACCACGTCGCGCCCAAATGCCTTATCGGCACCGGCAGCGCAGTAGTATGGTCCCTGGAAAAAAAAGAAAAATGCACCCAGCAGTTGAGACACTTGCAAGGCCTGCCTCTGCCCTCTTTTGTATTGAATTGGTCGTCAAAAGCTCAAGAATGCCTCTTTTGTATACTTGTAAAGTTTCGCTATGTCAACTGGTTCAAAGTTTTTTTTTTGTCTAAAAAAAGGTAATCTTTTTTTTTCAAAGCTTACATTACTTAGCTTGTTTTTTTGTTAACTTGCATGCAATAGATAAAAGTTGAAGGATCATAGAAGTTTTCTTGCCTGGGGACCAGGGTATCCACCAACAGGCCAGCCAAGGGGCCAGTTCACATCCTTCTGAAGGAGAGTGTACTCCTGCTCAATACCGTACCTGTTTGAATTCAGGCAGAGGTCCTGATGAGGAACCAGATTAAGATAGAAAGGTAGTAGTAGACAAAAAGTTGGAATTTTCCAAATATGGTGGTCCTTCAAAATATTTACGTTAAACATTTATTCACGTACTTTCTAAGTTGAATTGTGTTGTATTTATATCAACCATTTTTTCTGAACTGTTGTGCTACAATAACAAACAATTTACTTCATTGGCTGTAATAGCATCTTTTGTCGATTTTGATTAGTACTGTGACATTTTCGTGTGATACCAGTACAACAAAATGCTGATTTTTGTAGGCTGAAAAAAAGCAATGTCTGAAATTGGGCCAATATTCATACCATGGCACCTCAGCTGCAACGTCGGGGTGGCTGAAAACCTTGGCAGCATTGTACCTCTTGTTAGTAGGGATTGGCTCGCCTTGTGGCGTGTAGCAGTCACACATCACCTATACAGATAAGAGTAGTTTGAATAAGAAGCATAACAAACCAACCAACATAGCTTGCTTGCCAAAAGACAAAAAACTTTTACTCACATGGTTCAAATAATTTACTACTACCTTTACTCATATATTAATATCATCCTTCTTTTTTTAAAGAATCCCAGAGTAAGTAGTAGAAAATCAAACAGAGAAAAAAAATCATATAATCCCAGAGTAAAGATGGCCTTTTGGTCCCTCTTTTGATCTTTTACTTCTTCATCTTCTTTATTTTTTTAAAAAACTTTTTGGCCGTTTTTATGACTTCTAAGAGAAATGTAAAACGAGAAAGTATGCAGAGGCTTACAAGGATGTTGTCGCCCTTCCTGAACGGGTCCTTGAAAATGGCTTGAGGGCTTCAGAGTGAAAAATAAAAGGCGCAACCAGATAAGCAACAATGAACAAGGTTCCATGCAGGTTTTAAAAAGAAAATAATAGAAGAAAGGAGATGAGGATCATACTAGAGGATGACTTCGCTGTCCTCTCCGGGAGCCTGCCCGGTGCTGGAGCCGTCGTAGTTCCATTTTGGCAGCTGGCTCGGATCGGTGATGGGGCCTTTCACCGTCTGCTCCAACAACAGCATGGTCAGAAATAGAGTAGTATATCATGCTAGGAAATGGCCATTATTGTTCAATTACAGCCAACTACAAGTGCTGATACAGGTCATGGTTCAGAAAGAAACGGCATGAACAAGACTACACACCCTTGCTTTGCTCCTGAGGTCTATGCCGGATCCTCCAATCCTGCACAGAAGAGTCGACATCAGAAAGGGGCCAAACTTGCACAAAAGAGTTTTGAGCTGACGTAGTAGAATTCAGAACATACTGCGTTGGTAACTTGCAAGGATTGTGTTCTGAATGCAAAGGCGATTCTGAAAAGAAAATCAGAGCAAGAACAGAGGGATGCCAACCAGATGTACTCGGCGATGATCTTGTCGGTGCAGTCACTCAGGTCGAGGTTGACGAGATCGGTGAGGCTGGCCATCACTCACAGGCTCACAGCACAGGCAGAAGACAAGAACACAAGAGAGCTTAGTAGGCAAGAAAGAAGAACTGTCTGAATTATCACAATGGATGGTCAGAAGCCGGGAGGCGCAAAGGTTATTTATAGAGCGAAGCTGGCTGCGATGGGGAAGACAGAGGGAGACGGAAGGAGGGCAGGGCAGGGCAGGGCGTGTATCATTTTCATTTAGAGATAAAATGTGATTTGTTTTCCAGTTCCCTTAATAATCTATACCGGCACCGGCAGTTTAAAAAGATAGTGTCCATCATTTATGTCTTGTGCAGTTGTGCAAGGCATCGCCTCAACTTGGGAGATAGTTTTTATTTCCTTTCAGGGATCACAAATACTAGTCAAGTTCTATGATCAAACGAGTCGCCGTGTATATTTGGAAGTCGTTCATCGAGAGCTGTGCCTACCTCTACGGCTCTACCTGTGTGGCCTGTGAGGGTAGCGTCTTTCCAGAAGGAATGTCCTCCTGCAACTGAAAGAATACAATCAAGGCGCAGTTTGCCAATGGCCAGCCAAGACCTTGCTTGTTCTGTGCTGGAATATATAAGAAGCTAAAACAGCAGGCACGTATAGCCACTTTTCGTCTTATCCTAAACCTGAATGGACGCCAATGGTGAAGGATTGCTACTTCCTGCTTCGTGTGAACTGCTCCAATGAACGTGGAGTTGCTTTTCATTATTAACTTATCGGTTCTTATAAACCACTCAAACGAAAAGCACGCCCGGAAAAGGAACCATGCTTTTACTGCTGTTTCCTTGACGAGAAGAATCTACCCAAAAGGATGGACTATAGAAAACGGGTCTTTGTCACTGTTTTGTCTGGCTGTAGCAATTGAGGACGCCTTTAAAAAAAAGAAAGAAAAAAAGAGAGAGTAGTACTTAGTATACATCATCGGCAACGCAAAAACTAAAAAGAATGACGGTCGATTGTCGATTGATCATCTAGTTACTCAATGGATCATCACAGCTCTAGATGTACTTGCATTGTCGATAAGATTGCTTTGCTAAAAAGGACAAGAACCGTTGCATCCAAGAACAATGTGTGCGCTGTATTTTTGCCGTCCCGCCGCATTCCTGAAACTCCAATGATGATTTGTGCCGACAAGTTAGAGAGGTCTTCGCTTCAAATCCTCAATCCAAAAACGAGTATACGACGCTGGTTTGTCATTTGGTGACACAATGAAAGCAAGTTTTAGTGTAAATAAGTAGAGCTCTTGCTTAGATATTCTTCAGCGCAGGACCAAAGCGTTATTGTGTTCGCCTCCACCAATGTTCTTTTGTTCCCCAACAGTCTGTCCAACTTATTCAGCCAATCTGGACGGACTCGCTGATTCAATATGATGCTATCTGCAACTGCCATGTTGAAACATTAAAAACAAGAAATCAAGGCCAATGACGGTATTGTTTGCACGTTGTAGCATCTTAAACGTCTTCCATTCACCGCATTGGTTGACTTTGCTTCTACATTATTTATTCCCTCCTAGCGTCGTTTTCTTTTTCAGGCATTGAATTTGTGTATAATGCTGTCATATGATGGATAACCATTTTGACAAATTAGTGTTTGCTCACATTTCTCTCATTCTTTGACATGTCTCCAATTATGGGATGTTGCGAATTGGTGGTTATAGTTTCCGGTCTTGATTTTTTTTTTAAAAAAAGGTCTAGATGTATATTCCTTGTATCTTTTGAAAGGCCTGTGTATATTGTGAAGCAACATATTGTGCCAGGATCCTAAATGACTTTGAATTTTGTAAAAAAAATCTGCGAACAAGCCTCGTTTCTTTTTTGCTGTTCTGGATAACCCATTTGCAGACCACATAATCAGCACCAGCATCAGCATCTTTTAATTTTAAGAATTGTAGGCCGAGACATCAGCATGCTCTATCTGTAATTCTATCACTGGAAATCCTATATGATCATTGGTGCATCAAGCAACAAAGCAACAATTTTACCGTCTGTTCAGATGATCCAACCCTTGAGAGGCTGAAGAGAATATGTCCCTTTGGGCTCACAGAAGTCATGAACTCATGCCAAGGTGTGTGACACTGTTTCCCCAAGAGACCAAGTCAGCTAATTTATGTTTCTCTGTTTTCCGTCCAAGAATTCAAGTTGTAGTTCGCCACCAATTTTCTTTGAGGAATCTTGCATCTTCCTTGCATCACTGGGTTGTCCCAGCCGTCCATGGAATCTAAAGTCAACAATTCATTATGTCCGTTTACTGGGTGCAAAAGTTTTGTTTTGAAGAAGAAAGGTCAAGCCAAAACTCTTTTCTGCCAATCAATTTCCATCAGTGCCATGTAAAATAACAACGTACAACTTTCAGTGTTTTCAACTGCTCTATAATCCTAAATTATCTATTAATTCAACTACTGATGCAATCATCTCTCTCTAAAAAAACTAATACTAACAGATGTAGGAAATGTCTTGCCGTCTTCCATCCAACCTGGCCTACTATCTAGAGATGTGGAATATCACAAGTGGAATTGCTGGATCTAGTATATAGCAAGGGCCGCAAGCAAAACCCTGCATCCTGTGGAACAATACCGCTGCAATGGCAAACCATGATGAGGTCACGTGGACACACTGCTACCAGCTGGTCAGTCCCTTGGCATTGGCAGCAAGTATCTTTGCGTCTTCTAACATACACCATCAGATTCGCTCGTTTGCAGAATTGAGGGGTGATTGTGGCGTCGAGACAGGAGTGGTAGTGTGTGGGTACTGGGTAACCAAAGAAATGTAGTCCTCGCTTTTACTTTCGTTGGACTTGGACGGCATCCAAGGAACCAAGTGAGCAAGAATCATCAGATTTAGCCGTGCATGTTCGTTGGACACGATTGCGAGATAGAAATATGCCTTCTCGATGAATGAGCGTCAGTCATGGCAGATCATCTTGTTGCACTTATGGCTACGTTGTCCTCAGAATATATACTCTGGATGCCAGGATCTATTCCATGAGAAGTGAGAATCGGCGGCACCAGTTGTCACCGCAGCAAGCTGCTCGGCCAGCCCAAGTTGCGGCTGGCAAGAAACAAATGTATCTTAGGTGAATTCCCGTGCTCACGTACCAGACATGGCTCTGATTTGGCAAAGGAAATGCCCAAAAGATGCATCCAACGACACAAGAGAACCATTTCAGTTGGCTTTATTTTACTTCACGTGGATGACACTTTTTTTTTAATCAAGATCCAAACTGAAGTTCCAGTCGTTCTCAGTTTAGCATCCGGGCAACCCGAAATGTGAGGTGCTTGTGCTACGCTGGAATTAGTGTTCGGTTTCTCCTCTAAACTGCAGTCGCTGTTCCATCATATATTTAACACATACATAGAGTATTAAATATAGACTAATTACGAAACTAATTGCATAGCTTGCGACTAATTTACGAGACGAATCTTTTAAGCCTAATTAGTCCTTGATTTAACAATATAGTGCTACCGTACATGTACTAATGACAGATTGATTAGGCTTAAAAATTCGTCTCGTAGAGACGAATTCTGTAAATTTTTTTTATTAGTATTCAAACACTCTATGCAACAACCTCACGTGACACCTTGTGAATTTTAATCAGCAGATCCAAGCACCCGTTAGCCTAAAATACACGCTACTTTCTGTCTAAAAATCAAGTAAACCTGGCGGTCATCTCAGTATCGCATTCAGTTATTTAGAGGGGAAAAAATGCATGCTACTTTCTGTCTAAAAAAATGGAAACAGCAGCCAATGAATTAAATTTGACGCGACATGGCACACCAGACTACCATGATAGATGGAATTTGACGCGACATGGTACACCAGACTACCATGATGATGGTACAGTAGGATGTACCGATTTAAGAAAGCTAAGACTGCCCACAATGAATCGTTTTACCGGTGCTTGAAGAGGAGAGAGAAGGTCCAAGCACCTGTGCCGACCATTGCGAGCGATGCCGAATTCCCAGAAAAATTGGGCACCGAGTCATGTAGAAGCATCGATGCTTCAAACCTCTCTCTGGCAACATGCATGTATATGAGAGAAAAATGTGCACAAGAAAGAGGAAAGCTGTCTACAGTTGTTGCTTTTTACTGTTTAGTGGATCCTATACGATGCCTGCCCATTGCAGCTTGTCTCCACCGATGCTGAGTTTCTGCTTTTAGTTTTGGGCATCGATGCACACACTGTGGCCAGTCTAAGAAGAGACTCGAAACACAAATTTAAATGCACCAATTTCACATGATCCAAATGTGATATTATGATAATATAAAATGGGATAAAGATAAGGCATATATATATAGAATATAATAAATATATCATAAGAGCCAACAACAGGAATTTACATTGCGACACTAATTTATTGGAGATCGATAAGCAGAACAGTAGTAGCATATCTCCAATTACTACTTTGCTCATTTGGCCTTCAATTGAAAAATTACAGAAACCAGATGAGCAGTGAAACAGCTAAGAAAAGAATGACTAGAGGGCGGAAACGAGCTTTCTCCAACAAATAATTGCCATCTCTTGACAAAATCTAGGAACAAAACAAAAAAGATTACACTCTATGTACCCTATGCAACCTCCTTTGAAAAAATCAAGGAGACTAACCAAAGCCCCAACATATTTGTGATGATGCTTCCGGCAAATATATCATACATCGCAAGAACCAAATGCATCATAAAATGCCTTTGGATGTTCTTGAAGGGGGCCTGTTAATCTCTGATAGCGAAGAGGAATGTGCTTCTTCGTATCTTTGTATCTCCTGTATGTTGAAAGTTAGTTATTAGTCTTCTGCTTAGGCGATAAGCATCTTTACATCAAGAAAACATTGTTTAACAAAGCTCCCGTCATATTGTTGAAGAAAATTAGCAGCGCTAGAGCAAGAGGTATGCTACCAAAGAATAAATGGACTTCTCTGGTGGTGACAGGTTACTTCTCTAGAGTTTTTCAGCCAGCAAAATCTATTTTCCAGCTGAAAGCAGCTTTAGCCAAAATTTCCAACAGTAAATCAGAGCTTCAGAGGCGAAACCTTAAAAGAACACACTATTATGCAAAGTAACAATATTCATAGAGGTGGCAAATTCAGGCAGACCCCACCTTAGAGCAGAAATGAAACTACATAATAGTCCAATTCATACTTGGCAGGTAAGATTAGGAAAACTAAATACTTTTGCACAAATGTGGAACAGGAGCACACAACTGACAATTTCAACAACTGTTTATTCTGTGGCAGCAACAACAACTCAAAACAGATATAGCATAATCAAATATGTGAGCAAAAGCAAAAAAAAAAAACCTGAGATAATGTTAGAGCTGAAGCAGATTTGCGGGATTGCAGTTGATCCTTCAAATGGTTACGGTGCTGCAGCTGCATGTTCTCAAATTGCTGGAGAAGGAATGGGAAATTGATTGCACTATAGTTCTGCAAATCTTGGTTTCTATTGCCATCTTCTGTCACTTGCAGAATCTGAGAGTATGGATTTGCTGAAGATGTGCGCTTAAGATTTTCACTGAATGGCACAGTCTTCAGTCGAGTCCTCAAGATCTTGAAGGCCGCACTTTGCTGTGTAAACATATAAACCCCACGATGTAATCTCTCCCGACAGAATCTGGTTAGAAGTTTGACCTCATAGGAGGAACAATGAACTACAGTTCAACTCATTCTAACAAAAAAGAAGATATATGAAAGACCACATTCCACATACAAATGGAATACAGCAGCAGAAAAGCACAAAAAGATGGAGATGAAGCAAGTGCAATATGAGGACCATGGAGATAACTTTGTGCATCGCAAAGCTACTGTAACAGATAGTTTCAGTGTACAATTACAATAAGCCTCCTTATAGACCTCCTTATAGAGGAGGCTCCTGACAATTATGGATATAAATAATCTAAGTAACAGCTTGCCTAATAACTAATAGAGAAAGTAAAAAACAGCCCTTATACTAGGAAACTAACCATTCTTTTGGGAAACAGATATTCCTAGTGGAAGTAGGGATGAAACAGCGAAGACTAGTTGATTATCCCAACCCAAAATGAAAATAATATCTTTGAAAGGCAAAATGAATTCATGAGATACATGTCTTAATTTAAGATTACAATATCTGATGCTTTGCTTATGAACTGGGTGAAAACTATTCTAGAAACTGTGCAAGAAGCTAAATTGTTATAGGTGTGGAGCATGCAGCATGAGCTTTTTGTCTAGTGCATGTTACCCAAACATTCATTAGACGTTAACCAAAGAAAAGCTGCAGAAACTGCAACAGATGAGACATATTGAACATACCTGAGGCAACAGCATCAGGAGACCATAAAGAGTTTTCAGAAGCCACGTGTGTTTTCCCGGCTCGAGAAGCTGCAAGGTTTTTTTAAGAGCATGTTATGGAATTCCCAAGCCAAAATGATTAGTAAGATGTAACAACTAAATCTCCGTACAAGTCATCACAGTTTTCATAACATGTTGCACCACATAAACCCCAACATGTTGGTTTTACAGCATCCAAACTGAATGTGGAATCATTAGGGGATAGCAAAAAAGTCTGAGAACATCGTATCGAAAGGACAGCGAGCATACAGTAAATGTACAGAACTAAAGATGAACAGCTGAACAGCATGAAACAAAGATTGGTTCAGACCTATCATGCCATGGATCATGTGGAACTAGAAATCAAATTAAAATAGCCAAGAAGAAACCCCCAAGTTTCAGAATTCAAATGTGCCTGAGAAACAGAAAGATAAATTTGCAGGAACGGATTATCAGAACAAGTTACCTGTAAACGCAAGTAAGCAAATACTGGAGTCTCTAAGAGACGGATCAATTTATCTAATTGAACCAAAAATTTCACATTTATGTCTTCTTCCCCCAGTGACTGAATAACACAGCTTGCGTGACTGTATGCCTAAACACATACAGAAAGAACATCCAAAGATCAGCCAATAGAATACTAGTAGGCAGCACACATTCAAAATGAATCATTACCTGAGCAAGTAAACACAAACTTATCGTAGCCATCGGAGAGTGGCGCCACGAAGCATATAAAGACTGAAACAAATCCTTGCCACAGGAATCCACTAACGACTTCTTAAGAAGAGAGCGGAGCTCACCAAGTTCAGTTGATGTGAGCAAAATCAAATTCAAAGCCTGGTAGTTAAAAAATAATGCACAAATTTCACAATCACATTTTGGCAGTAGAAGAATGTTGTAGAATTAGGACATACCTGAACCATGACAGATGCGAAATCAAGGTCAACTTCACTCTCAAGAATAGTGGAGAACTCTCGATATACTTTTTCAGCACCCAGAAGAACGCAGAGCCGGCGGACTATCAAAGCACCACGCCTGTAGAAGCACCTCAAACCATTATTTTCTAATATGTTCACCAAATACTGAATCATATATCCTATAAAACCAAGAGATATATAATTAAAAAGCAGAGTCAACTGTAGATATTGAAATTTTACATACTTCTCCAGTAGAAAATGGTTGTTGTGGAAGGTGCGGATTAGGTAGGATACAAGATGATGGAAGTGGTGAGACTCTTCAGCTATACATGCATGAACTTCCAATACCAATAGGACAACCTGCACAAGTAAAAATGCTGTGACAAACAACCGCCATGCTCACAGTTCATTAACAAAATGTATCATTGGTGGCTAAACCTGTACAGCTACTCAACAGCAGTAAGTAGTCTGTCGTGGTTACGCTACAGATACCACATTCCAGGTAAAAACAAATATCATCCAGATTGAGGTTTGTCAAAGAACTCCAGATTTTAAACCTTGGACAACATAGTGGACCTATCCTAGCTAACAGCACAACAATTGGAATAATATTCAAATCAGTGATTAAACAAATTTGGTTTGTGATATGGTTCAGATAACTGGCAGATGCATACTCTCCATTGAGGAGGATGAGTGGAGTGGGGACAAGCTACTCAGAGCCTGCCCTCCAGGACCGGTGGAGCCTGGTGGTGGAAATGCCCTCCAGGCTCCAAGAAAACCTGGAGCTCCAAACAGCTGGCCGAAGGGTTGTAGTTTTTTTTCTTGCCTGCCGCCCATGGGCTGATGGGGCTCTTTCTAAAGAAATTAACAAATCACCAAACAGATATTGTCTCACAGACCAAATCACATCTTAAGTTCTTAACTAACTTAACACTTGTATCTATGATTATATGAATCTAACTTATCATCTAAGATTATTACTCCAAGTCTCCAATGGTGCTGGGGTGTGGTGCTACAGTGCCAGGCCCACACCATAGCAACTTGTGCCCTCCAAATAGATCCAAACCTTGATTGAATTATGAATTGATACTAAACTATAACTCTAAGTCACCGCATACAAATAGCACAATATAATATCATCTAATCACAGCCCAAAACATGATGTAGTTTCAAATTCTAGAAACAAGCAGAGCAGTTTGGAAGGCTTTTCAAAGAAAACTCACCGCGTCTGAAGGATCAGAAAGTGCATTTAGGAGTGGATCAAAAATATCGTTCAGGTACACCAAGAACTGTTCCAGAAAATATGTAAATAAACCATAGGTCCAAACGGACTTGTGTTAATCAAAATGAATTGCAACCGTCACATGTCCAACTCTAAGTTGACAAAATAAAATCATAGCAATGTAAAAGCTTAAAAACATGCAGGTACTTATTGAGAGTAGTTGTTGAGATTTATCAAAATGCAGTCCAAAAAAGCACCAGTCTTTTAGTACCTCAGCACGATATCGATACAGCAAAGTGAAGAACCAATGCAATGCTTCAATTCGAGTGGCCTCATGTTCACTGTTCAATTCTCTGAAAAGAAAAGACAAAAGGTCAATGCCTTGTCACAAATGTCATGTTGATATAATTATCACATTACCAGCACAGGCAGAGCATAAACAACTCAAATTACCACACAGATAGATGCCTAACAGTTCTACATAATTTAATTTCCAAGGGACTTGATAGAGAACCTTTTTGCAATTGAAAGAATTGCTCCGATATCAAATCCCTCAGCTGGATCAGCTTTTATAGCACGGAGTTCCTCATTTGTTTCGCGTGCAACCTTGCAAACAAAGAAGTCGGTAACTAAAGTGAATGCTATTCCTGAACAAGCACACACCACACAGTTTACATTTGCAGTAATTGTATGAATCAAAAGCATAAGACGGGAAAGTACCACTCGGATTTTCTCCTCCTCGTCAGATATGCACGGTAAGATAGCGCCCAATATATCCGAATAGTAAGGAACAAGTTGTTCCCCACCAAGCTTCACAAACTCGTTGATCTGCACTTTAAAGGATATAAGCCATAAGTCAAGGCATTCTTACAAATACTAAAACGGCTTCTGCAATCTAGATTCTAGGTTTTAAGATCACAGAGAAAACATGAAAGACAAATTACCCATGTGATAGACGTCAACCGAGTGAATTCATCAGTAGAGCCTGCCCTCCGAACGAGTATTTCAGCCATACGACCGTAATCTACATTCTTTTCATTTAAGTTATGATAATCAGCATTGAAAGCATAAAAAAAATGAAGACAACCTTTAAGAGTTTATACAAAAAATAAAAGGATAACTGAAGGAATAGGCATCCCACAATGTCTTTTACGTCTAAGCTGTTAAAAGACTTGTAGCCATATAGAGCAGCCTTACTGGTGAGTTCTTTATCTCCTGCAGAAACTCAGAAAGTGCTGCATCAGCTTGCTGCCTTATCTCATGACTGGAATCACTCAGCATATTGAATAAACCTGCAGGGGTAGTGATAGAAAGGTTGTTGAGCAGTCAATAAAAGTATAAAAGTAATGCACTTGGAGAAAAGGGAGGGATTACCATCGAGAAAATCAGGAAGGAAACCAAGCATGTCAATATCAGGAACACTGTCTAAAACTGTTATCCACCCCACCAAAAATTGTCTTACATAAGGATTCAACACATTCATACGCTCTCTCAAGAGCGGTATGAATTCTTCTATGCTAAAGAGCAAAAGCAAGATATGGGGCCAATCAGAAATCAACACTGACATTAAAACAAGCAAGGCACTAATAAGGAAAAGGCAATCATACACAGCATACCTGAACTGATCACTCTCAGTTACGATATCCTGGTCGATAAATAATTATCTTATCAGGGATAATTAAGAAGAGAAACAAGGGACAAGTTGTAGATATATGAGTACAGTCCAGGCGATTATACCTTGACAAGCCTATCAAGAAGGTGAGCTGCACTTTGAACATTAGCATCGGAATCTGCAGAAAGCTTGCATAAAGCATCAAAAATTTTGTTGAAGTAGATGATGAAATCCCCTCTGACAACCTAAAGATAGAAATTCAATTAGCGTAAAGCAACCAGACAATTTATGTTCCATCACTGAACTAAATGCTTACCTTTGCTATGTTGTATAGCGCTTCACAAGCATAGTAACGCACTCTACTATCTTGGTCCAGGAAAGAATTAAGCACAGGAGGCACAATTTGCTGGAAGCACAGAGCGACAGAGTTTATTGTACAGTCAAACTGGCAAGACAGAATAATAGCACGGACGATATAATGTAGGCATTAAACATAATTCATGTTAACAGAGCTTCTCTGCTGGGTAGACATGTAAGTGGCACAATAACAGTTTATTTGTATGTAACAGAAGCTTTGTATTAAACTAATAACTATATGATTTCAACATGAGCGCACAATGCCATCTAATATATTATCTCCATTCCAAAGATCTAACCATATCAATGAAAAATATTCTGTAGAACCCTGCAATCTCCCTCATTGATCTTTCTTCCAGATCCCCAATATCCATTTCAACTGATGGCAACAATACAACTCCATAAAAGCCTACGAGATTAATGTATGAATAACACCGTACAGAACTAATATTTTCCAATCATCAAATACAATCTGTTAAAAGAATGCCAGAAAAGAAGTGTCTGAAAGTGGGAGGCCATATCTGCAACTCGTAGAAGTTAATCCCTCTGGTTGGCAAATAATTGACATTTTTTACAAAGTTTTAAGTCAAACTTTTAAAACTTCGACTACAAGAACCTTTTAATGTGTTTAGTTTAGAAACTTGGTGATCATATGCATAGATTTGTCTTGAAAAGTACTTTCATAAAAGAATAAATATGTTAGGATTTTCATTTACATTCCAATAAAAAATAATGGTCAAAGCTATGTTTTGGAGACCATGTCATTCTCCAAAACTCACAAGTATTTGCAAACCGTGGGATAACTATTTTCATGGTGAATCAGTAAGCATAATGTCCTTCAGCACTGAGGGAAAGGACTATACACAATTCATCAAATCATACTTGAGCTCCAACTCAATAAATGCAAATGGAAATCTAAAGTACTTGAGACCACAAGAAATGAAGTCATTTGGAATCATTGACTAATAGATACGTTCAGCACGTAGTACACCAATAGAGGAATGCATGATCCAATGGTGAAGCTCAAGAAGGCAAGTTGCCATTGGCAGTTTCAGCCCCGTAGTTGCCAACTTGCCATTTAAAGATTATATATGCATGCAGGTTTTAAGGCAAATGGCCATATGATTTCCTTTAAGAGCCACAAGAATTCACCCCATTTGGGATGACACTGCATAAAGTTGAATATGAATACACCAAATAGACATTTCCCAAAAAAAACACCAAATAGAAGTTAAGAGTTAAAACTTGCACTAGCAAACCTCGAGATGCTGAGCTGCCTCACTGGTGAGTCCAACAGTAACTGCTGCAAGGCCAATCAACCCACCCTGCTAACATCAAAGTGCCACAGAACTCAACAAATCTGACCTCATAAGAACAGAGAAATGAACTACGGCGGTCTAAGCAAACCTTCCGATGGTTCGCTTGTGGCGAGTATGTAAAATCGTTGGTGAGCAGCGAGATAACCGCTGATATCTTTTCATGCTCCCCAGCCGTTGCAAGCTGCTTCACAATTCCCTCAATCTGTACAAAGGCCACAGCAACAAAGAAAAATCCATCTCAAATCCCTGGCGATTGCTCTAAGACCAAAGCCCGCGAGGAATCGAATCCCTCACCTCGAGCGCGGCGTTCTTCCGCTTCTCGTAGAGCTTGTCAGATAGGTTCCGAAGCACGGCGCCCGGGATGATGGATAGTGCGTCTGCGGCCATCGCCGGAAAATCCACCCAGGAGATCCCCTGCCCCGCCGCCGCTACAGCCTCCCGATCGCCGGCGATCGCCACATCGGCCGCATCCCCCGACCCACGGCCCCCGCAGCCGCGACCCAACCCTAACCCGACAGGCCAAGGTCCAAGGCGATGGGCACCAGGAGCGGGGAGGCGAAACCCTATAGACCTGAGCCCCAACCCGAGCTCGCTCCCAGCAACAGCTCGAGTCTAGGAATGGATTTGCAGGCGAAGGCGACGGTGGTGTGATCTGGAGGAAGGAGAGGGGATCCGGGCACTACTGCTATTTTTCTTTCTCCTCCGCAAGGGTAACGTTTACCGTTGTGGCGGCCATTAACGGCGCCTGTTTCCCGTTGGACTGATGGTTCAGGGCGGAGGCCAGCCTGGCAAGTGGGACCGTGCTTCATGACCTGGACTGCGGCGTAGCCACATAGGCTCGGCTCCGGTGCCTGGTGGTGGACTGGTTGTCAGCCGAGCAGCGAGGTGCGTGGACCAGATGTATCCATTCGAGGGGGTCTCCGGTCGCGGCCGCTGTCCACGGAAAAGGGAGCTGCTCGAGGATCGCTGAAGACGCGACGCGACGGTCCCTGTTTTCAGCGACCGAGAGTCTGTTTGGTTGCCCGACCTTTTTCACCTAAACTTAAAATAGATATTAGTTGGTACTGTATCGGTCTCCAACAGAGTATCTATATATGAGACATATTTTGGATTGTAACAGAGTCATAACTCAAATATAAGTATTCTTTCTCCTGGAGACTCATTTACAGAAAGGGTTTTCTTTTAGGTCATATTGTTAGAGAAGACAAAAATAGATATTGAACCCTTTTACCTATAGTGTTACCTAAACGTGGAATGAGGCCTCGTTCGCGTGCCCTTAAACCCGGCTTTGATTCGCTTATTTTTTCATCCGGAATCGTGTTTCTCTCTCACAAATTCCTCCAGCATTCCTCCAAACCATCCAGATTCCTTCAGAATTCAGACAAACAAACATGCCCTGAGTTTTATATTTTAGATGATGTTGTTAGAGATAGTCTAACGAAGTCGCACAAAACTATTGTATGAGTGTGTTTAGTTGTTTGTATGAGTTATTACATTTACAATATTTATACAACACACGATCCAACGGTGGGAAAAAATGATGTCGTGACCACGCTCCAATGTAGCCGCTTTGTAAAGTTAAATAATATGGATAAATATAGACCGGCAGAATACGTCCAAATTAGGAGGGCGATTGGTTGCTCACATCCTGTTCATCCATGTTTCACCGATGCAAGGTCCGCATGATTGGTTGGGTGGCGAGGGCTAAGGGTGTTGGCTAGGCTCCTGCTGTGCAAAAGGCGTCTTTGGACCTCTTCTCCTGATGTGCAAATTTTCTTCGTTCCCAGAGGGCCTGGCGAGGCGAGGCGAGGCACGAGCGGGGACGTACGCGAGGAGACTAAGGGCGTGTTTGGATGAAGACCTGGCCTGGGGGCGTCCACCTAGGCAGGTCGATCCAGCCCCAGGCGCCGAAAATCGACGGCCTGGGTGAGGTGCCTGGGCCAGGCAAGATTTACAGTCTTCAAAGCAAACAAGCCCTAAATTTGTCGTGGCAGCTGCTGGGGCCCAGGGGCAGGCAACCAAACACCGGAGCTATTGATATGTGGCCCCTGCCAAAGGTTAAGGTTGGTTTCAGACTGTCTCCAACAACCGCGACCTAAAATATAAGATATTCGTCCTTTGGATATCGCTACAAGCAAAAGTTCCAATACATTTTTTTTATCTTCTCCAACGATAAGACCCAAAAGACAACCATTTCTACAAATAGGTCTTCATGAAAGAGGATACTCATATTTGTGTTATACCTCTCCTGACATATAAAATGGGTCTTCCATATAGTTACTCTGTTGGAGGCTATAGATATTGTGTTAAAAACCCATTTTAGGTTTGGGTTCCGTAATGTGTCTCCTGTTGGAGACAGCCTCACACATGCTAGATGCCCTTAGTTAAGTTTTTAGTGATCCAAACCCTCTCCTCGTTGGCCTTGGCTACAAACCACGGGTTTTTTTTCTTGCTCCTGCGCGAGTGTTGCTCGCGAGCCCCCGTGCTCGCCACACTGTGAGCCACCACTTAGGGAAGGGAGAAAGGAAGGAGAAGAGAGGGAGAGAGGAGCCGGTAGTGTTGCTTGGTGTCGGAGGGAGTGTCTACGCTCATGCAGCTTGTCGGCATTTGCGCTCGGCGACTTGCGTGGTGCAAAATGTCAGGGATGAGAGGGGAATGGAGGAGAGAAACCGACAAGCATGAGAATTGTCGGGGAGCCTATATGGAATATGTGTCAACTCCCCCTTAAAGATGCCCAATAGAATTTAGTGTAGTAGCTTGAGATCAGTCGAAGGCCGTGGTGCAAAATCAGAGGCCGGGGCAAGATGAAGATCAGTCGAAGGCCATTGCAAAATCAGAGGCCAGGGCACTATGAATATCAATCGAAGGCTGTCGGTGCAGAAAGTGATCAATAAGTAAATATTTGTAGTTTTGTCGTACGTTGTGATCGGAGGTGGCCTAGCACTCAATGACACAGGGTTTATACTGGTTCAGGTAATGTGCCCTATGTCCAGTTTGAGTCGGTCAGTGACTTTATTCCTGAGCCCAGGTGCTTGAAGTTTGCAGTGGGGTTACAAACGAGAGGGAGAAAGATGGGGGGTACAAGAGGTCCAGTCAAACTACGGTCGGAAGGGCCGAGAGTGACGGGAGCCCCGCTATGAGCTAAGTGTTCAAGCGCGTGCTTGATGTTCGAACCTGGCGGTTCTGTGGTTGTGAACTAATGAGCTTGATCTATCTAATGAATCTGGAATGACTTGAATCTGATTGTTGGAACAGAGCGCATCCCCTTTTATAGATGAAGAGAGTTTGTATGCTTCTAAGCCTTGCTGCCCATGTCGGCGGGTACAGGATGATGATAGGCGCCCACAACACTGTTGGATGTCAGATGCATGTGGGAGGTTGCGTCGTCTTGTTCGGGTATGGCAGATGTCGGTACCTATTATACTGTTGATGTCTAGAGGCATGCAAGGGGTTTTACCATGTTCGTTCGGTACGGTAAAAGCCGACGCCCACAACACTGTCGATGCCCAGAGGCATGTGAGGGCCTCACCGTATGGGACTTAATGGCGCCCACAATACTGTAGGGAAAAATGTCGGCGCATACAACACTGTTTGGGCTCTGTTGTGCCAGGGAGGTCGCAGAGCACTATTCCTGTAGGTGTACAGGGTACGGTCCCTGGTATCGTGGTTTGACTTGTGCGCCCTGCCTTGCTTTCTCTGTACGTTCCTTGGTCCTTTCTGAGCGGGCGTCTCCGGTCGGTTGGTCCCAGTCGGTTCTGATCGCGCCAGTTGGAGAAGAGCCGAGAGCAGGGGTTTGGCACATCCCCAGTCGGAGACGCGGATCAGAGTCAGAAGTAGTGCTTTGGCCAGGCCTTTCGGTCAAAGAGGCCGTCCGGAGGCGGGCTAGAGACCGAAGCGAGTGCTCCAGTCGTTGAAGTGGGCCGGAATTGGAAAGCGAGCGCTGTTTCTCCTCGGCTAGACCTTCCGGTCGGTGATTGGATCGCCCTTCTGGTCTGTTGTTTTAGATACTTGGGCCGGCCCACGAGTTGCGCGTTGTCTGCTTAGGCCAAGCCTTTGCGGGGAAGCCGATCCCCGAGGGACCCTGGGTTTATGAACCCGATAGGAGCCCTCGAGCCCCTAGGCGATTCAGTTAGAATCATCTGGGGGATTTTTGACTTGACGGCGGGTGCACACGAGCGCACCCGCGAGTGTAGCCCCCGAGCCCGCGAGCGGTTCGGGCAGAACCGTCTAGGGGTTTTTCGTATTGCCAGCGGGGGAGGTTTTTGTTTCGTCAGCGGGTGCGCGCGAGCGCACCTGCGGGTGTAGCCCCAGGGCGATTCGAGCAGAATCGTCTGGGGGTGTTTGTAAGCGGGCGTGTGTGCGTGTTTTTTAGTTGAGATGGAGTCATCAACCAAGGCGTCGTTGCGCAGTCGAGGCGGTTTAGTTTTAGGGATCGAGTGAGACGGAGCTCGAGGATCCTGGCGTCGGTATGCGCCGTAGGATCGGGCGAGGCAGTTAGTTCAGGGATCGAACAAGACAGAGCTCGCGGGTCCTGGCGTCGGTGCGCGCCGTGGGATCGGGCGAGTCAGAGTTGTGGATCCTGGCCTCGTTGCAGCCCGTGCAGTTGAGGCATTTAGTTAGTTTAGGGATCGGGCGAGCCGGAGCTCGGATCCTGATGGGGCAAGTTTGGGGTCGCAGACCCAAGCATACGTGGTGTGCAGTCGAAGCATAGCCGGATGGGGCGAGTTCGGAGTCGCAGACCCAGGCGTTTCATGTGCAGTTGAAGCATAGCCGGATGGGGCGAGTTCAGGGTCACAGACCTAGGTGTTTGGCGTGCCTTGAGCCCCCGAGCCCTGTTGGGCTTTTGGTAGGGGTCGGTTTAAGTTGTGTGCTTTACCCCGTCCTCGGTTTCTCACAACTGGAGGGGCTGAGTTTTGTCCATTATCCCGATCGCTCGGGCTCAAGTGATGCGCTCGGTGAGTTCGCTAACGGGTATGATCGAGTGGAATCTGGGTCCGTCATTCATGACGGGGTCGGCATAGCCCTCTTGTGACATTCCATTGCTCCTTTACCTGCAACCTGGCAGATGCCTGGGTCGTTCTGGAGACCGACCCGGGTGGCCTGACGTCCTCCCCTCGATGGAGATTCTGTGGGCTTAGCAGAGGTTTAGGATCAAACGAGAAGGTTAAGATGACCCTGTTTGCTTTGGGGCAGACTAGGCGAGGGCCGCACGGGGCTCATCTGCGTTTTTCTCCCTCGGCTTTGTTTGACGTGGGGCGGCCTCGAGCCCTTCGTGGGCCGGCCTTCGAACCTCGATCGGTCGTTGCTCATGTTGAATGTGGCAACTGTCGCTTCATGACGCAACATGGAGTGTTGTGATGCATTTCGCTGCATGTGCGATGCTTAGT